TTTTTTTTTTTTTTTTTTAATTTGGAGACAATCTTGCTAAGTTGCCCAGGCAGAACTCACATTTGAAATTTTCCTGCCTCAGCCTCCCAGAGTGCTGTGATTATAGGGATGTGCTATCACACCTGGCTAGCATCCTCTTTTAATGATGGCTGTAGAGTCCATTTCTGAGCAGTGAGAATCTAGAGAGGCCCTTTCCCCAAAAACCTGTTATCCACCACACTTCTGTGTGGTGGCAGAGTTTTGCATGCAGTTTTAAGGAGTTGGCAGATGCTAAGTAAGAGTCAGTCCTGTAAGAGTTGCCTGGATAAAATTATTTAAAGGAAGCCTGGGGGAAACCTGTGTTGACATTTGAAGAACTGATCTTCATTCATCTGGAAAATTAATCACAGTAGGACAGCTCATCCCATTACCATGCTGGCTAGATGAGAACGAAGTGTATGTGTGTGGGGTGTGGGGGGCCATGGAACAGGGACACCAGGGTGACACAGCCAAGGTTTAGAAACCTCTTTCTGTGCAGAGTCTTTCGCTGGCCTGGCTCTGCACCAAGATGTGACATGAGCTGCCAAGGGCTAGTGTGACTTTCCCTGGTACATTTCTAGGAGCTATCCTGGCTTTTGCTGACACATTTAGAGCTGTGTTAATAGCCACCGTACCTCTGGGTCACTGTTTACTCAGCTACAATGCCTAGGACTGAACAAAAAACAGTGGTTTTGTGACATTGTTTTATGAAGTATCAGAATTTCAAAAAGAGGCCTCTGTGGTATGGCTGAGGGACCCTGTGGAAGAGAACATCTGCTGTCCACCAGCCTATACCCGAGCAGCCCTGCTCTCGCTTTCCTACAGAACTACCATTCAGGGTAGTATTGATGGGCTGAGGATGTGGCTAAGTTGTAGAGGACTTGCCTATCATGTGCAAGGCCCTGAGTTTCATCCTTAGCACTGTAATAAAAGTAACAATAACAACAGTAAAAATAGATGGAGCTACTTAAACACTGAACTGAATTGAAGCACTGAACTGGATTACCTGTAACTTCTCTTCGGCTCCAGAATCTCATGGTGTCCAGGGAGATTTAAAAGCTGGAAAGGGGACAGCCACATCATGGCAGGCTTGGCCTCCAGACCAGGCGCTTGGCTCTGTGATCTGGGGAAGTTCTGGAGCTGAGTCCCCAGCATGTCAGCCAGGCAGGGATGGAAGTGGGCCTGTGGTCTTTGGGCAGAGGCCAAAGGCCAGATCCTAGAGGCCAGGAGGAAGCTGGTGTCACTGTTGCTAGGTAGGCTTCGGATGTCTTTTAATGACATGCTTTATCCACGAATGCAAACAAGTACCTACAGGATTTATGCCTGCATCTTTCAAGAATGTGTACATTTATTTATTGCAAATGACACACATTTATATCAATGTGCTAATGTTATGTGTATTATAAAACAAGCAAAATAGGTATTTTAAAGATGAGAATAGGTTTTTTTTTTTTTAAAGGCCTACCACCCACTCAGCCATCTTGCACTCCTGCTGTAGTGTCTGCACCCCATCCTGGAGAGCTTGCAGCTGCAGGGAGGAGGCTGGGCACCTAAGTGAGGCTGGTGGGGGTCATCATGGAAGGAAAAGAAGACAGCTGCTCATAAACACAGTCACACCACCTCCCTGCGCTAGTCTTTGCTCAGGAGGATTCTTGGAATTGACTCCTTCTTTTTTTCCTCTCTCTCTCAAATTTAGCCTCATTCTAAGCACTAATATGCACAAAAGTCTCTATACAGCTAGAATCTTCTTCTAATGCCCATCAAAATAAATATAAAGCCATACAAATAGAGCATTTGTCCAGAGACCACTTAAGAATCACCTATTGGTGCCTGCATATGTGAGGGGAACCACTGGTCTATGGCATTGGATTCTAGAACAGATTGGGAGAGCAGGGAGCTCCTGAGCATGATCCTTCCAGAGGTCTTGGCCCCTTATGGACGTGTGTGGGGTGCGCTCTTCCATGTCACCTTGGCTGCAAGCACAGTCATGCTAACAGAATTTGGGGAGAATGGCAGGAGAGAATATGTTTCCTGATGAGAGACTTTGTGTGCACATTGACTGCAGACTGAGTTGGGCTGTAAACTACCTGCTATGTCCAGCCACCATGATTCAGTGCCAGCCCTGCCTACTGCCAAAGCTTCCTATATTGGGCTAGACTAATGCAGACATTCACTAACCCATTCAAGAGATATTTATCATGCATCTGCTCTTTGCCAGGCCCTGCAGTAGGCATTGGAGATGGAAGAGGAATTTATTCTTAGGAATCCCACAGCCTAGTGGGAAAAGTCTGACATTAAACAAGCAAAACAACAGAGAATAGAAAATCAGGTTGTTATAAATATTGTAAAGTAAAATCAAGGAAGGGAGGAGAGGATGACTCTCCTCAATAAGCTGACATTAAACAAGCAAAACAACAGAGAATAGAAAATCCAGGTTGTTATAAATATTGTAAAGTAAAATCAAGGAAGGGAGGAGAGGATGACTCTCCTCAATAGAACAAGTTCAAATCTTTTATATGTATTAGAACATGGCTTTTCCTTCTATGAGTGTGACTGTGCTTACTGACTTCCTCCCACAGAGCAGGCATGGAGGAAGAGGAAAGGTGTCTTGGCAGTGGAGAAACCCAGTGGACAATAGCTTGGCCACATGCTGAAGACTGACAGCGACAGTCATCAGTCGTGTGATAGTATGCGCCCTGCAAATGATGTGAAGGGGTGTACTTTCCCTCTGTGGTTATCTTCCCTTGGACCCAGAATCCCAGCCTGATGTCAGACGAACCCAGGGTGCAAGACCCCTGACTAGAACTCAAACTGCCAATGTGATCAAAATCAAGGAAAGTCAGAGAAACTGTCACAGCCTGGAGGATCCTAAGCACAATGACTTAATGTAGCAGAGGATCCTGGAACAGAAAAAGGGCATCGGGAAAGAACAAAGCATGCAATTTAGTAATAATCATTTAAAAAGAGGTAAAGACCATGCCTATAAGCCTAGCATTGTGGAAGCTGAGGCAGGAGGATCACTGTGAGTTTGAGGCCATCCTGGGCTACATAGCAAGGCTGTGTCTCAGAAACGAAAAAAAAAAGAATAAAAAGAGCTAAAGCGAAAACAGAGGTCATCTCAAATGTCGTCAAGGAGGTGGCATTTGAGCTCAGCCTTGGAGGATGTACTGAATCACATCTAGGTAGGGAAGACCTGGGGCAAGAACCTTCCAGCCAGAGGAAATGGCTGTGTAAAGATCCTGGGCCAGAAACAAGCTTGGGGCATTGAGCACCAATGAGAAGCCCAGCACCAAGTATGAGATAGCAAGGCACAGAGGGCTGGAGGCGAAGTCAGAGGTGGATGGGGACCAGGCTGTGTGAGGCCTTGAGACCATGGGTCCTGGGTATGATGGAAAGGTGTTGAGAGTTTCAAGCAGAGAGTGGCATGAACTAATTTTCATTTAACATCACCCGGGTTTGTGTGGAGAACAAACTAAGGGGTGAGAAAGAAAGCCGAGGTCAGATAGAAGGCCCTTGTGGGAGTGCCGGGGAAACCATGTTAGATTCTTTGGAAGAATGAGAGACCATCTTTCTGGAAATGGAAATGTGGGGTCATTTCATCACCTGTTTCTCCCCCAGATTGTCTCTCCAGGCTGGGAGAGGTGACCAGGACCCCGAATTCCACGGGCTGATTGAGCCAGTTCTAATCCACATGGCGGGAACACTGACAGGTGCACCTGGAAACACAGCTCCCATCTGTAATTCTAGGTGTTTTTCTTTAGTGTTTCCTAACTTATTCTGAAAACAAAAATGTGCACCGAGAGGGTTGCTATAAGCTGTTCTTACTTAATTGGAGCACAGGGTGAGGTTCCTGAGCTATCCACATCTTACCCCTTCCAGAAATTGTGAGTCAAAGCTGTTTCTGAAGTGTAACCAACTTCAAAATACTTTCAGTGAATTTGCTTGTGTCTTATTTCACTACATGTTTTGTCTTTCAAGCTGCCTCAAGTCCTTTGGGAAGGGAATATGGTGCCAATAAAGCAAAATAACTCTTAAAACTCATTAAATAAAATAAATGATTGCAATCTGTGTTTTGTTGTCAAAGTCAGAGCCATGCTTTTTAGCATTGCTGGGCTGAGTAGAGAGAGATTCTGGCCCTGTCTTGTTAGCTTCCCAGCTTATTGCCAGTGTTCGTGTCCCCAGTGTTGGACATTTGCTGTCTTAACGGTGTATCCGTACTTATTCCCAACATGAGTATGTCCGTAAGTCAAGGTTCATAAAGCTGTCTGGGCTCATCCAGTCTCTGTGTTCACTTTCAGAGATTGAGATGGTGATCATGGAGCACAGCAAGCTCTCAGAGTTGGCCGCCAGCACCTCTGTGCAGGAGCAGAATACTACGGACGAGGAGAAGAGCGCTGCTGCCACATGCTCCGACAGCCTGCAGTGGAGCAGGTAGGCTCACGGCCCTGCTGAGCTCGGCCTCAGAGGAGGAGCGGCGCTCACCAAGGAGGTTGAGTGCGGGGTTTGTGCCAGCCAGATGACCTCTCCTGTCTCAGCCGGACCGTGCTGCTTCCCTTCGTCCCCCAGACTCCTCCAATCTCTGGCCACCTGGAGGCACAGCAGCTCCTTTCAGTGGGAATAGAGCTATCACTACTGCTCGTCCCTTGGAAGACCAGTTGGCACAGGACACCACCCCCTTGGAGCAGGTTGCAGCTATGTCCCACCTAAAGGATGTGGGTCCTGCCTTGCCTGGGCTGCTCCTGGGGGGTTGTCCTCTGGAGCCAGGCTTTGGTCTCCCTGCCTTGTTCATCTGGTGCCTCCCACACTACCATCTGCAGGGCTGTTCTTAGGTCTCAGCTAGCATGATCTGTTGTAGCTCTGCCTTTGTCCTCGGCCTGTGAAGCTACATCTTTTCTACCTTGGCACACACATCTCCTGGAACTGTGCTGTGGCATCATCACCTCCAAAAAGGCAACTGCTCCCAAACCTTCTGGTGAACTGCTAGGTAGGGCTTCCTGGCTACAGGGTTGTTTCTTTGCTTATCTAGGAGCCCCACTGTGCAGACCCCAGCTAATTCTTCTAGTGGCTTATGGCTCATTCATTTCCTGAACCAGCATCAGCAGCAATGCCACACCCCCGGCCCCATTCTATTTATTAATTTAACTGAAAGTGAAGAGTTGAAGCCCAGTAATTTCATTCATCCATTCATTCATTTTTGTGGTACTAGTGATTGAACCCATGGCCTTCACACTAAGTTATCCCAAGCCCTTTTTTATTTTGAGACAGGATCTCATCAAGTTGCTAACCTGCCTATACAGGATCAAATATGTGATCCTCTTGCCTCAGCGTGCTGGGATTATGGGCATGAGCCACCACACCCAGCTGAAGCCCTCTACTGTTTCATCTCCACATCTTGTTTCTCTTTTTGCTTAGCAAATGTTTCAGTTTTCTAATAGAGGGGATTAATTTTTGTCAGATATGCAAGAGAACTACTTTTAGTTTTTATTAAATAAAAACATTGGATTATGAATGCTGTGGGCCGTCAGTTTTTGATTTTGTGTAACAACAACAAAAGAGTAACTCCTGAAGCTCTGAAAATTCAGGAAGTCACTCTAAGCACAGAAGGTGAGGATGACCTTTAGATGCCTGGCCCAGCATTAGAGTAGGAATAATTGGGAAAAACCATAGATGATTAACAATGGAAGATGCTTAAGCAAATGCAGGTGTATCTGCTTAATAGAATATTAGCTGCTACTTTGAAGTGAATTCTGTGATGATGTGTTCAGTTTCTCAGGATCTAATACATGGAAACAATCATTAACAAAACACGTTTTGCATAGTACCGTAATACCATCGCTTTGCTAAGAAGAAAAATATCTGTATATTTCCCTTATTCTTTAAGAAGCAAACCAAAATATTTCTTCCCTAAATTTTAGTGAAGAAAAAGGTTTTCTTTGAGTTGATTGAGATTCTTTCTAACTTTGGGTGACTCCAACTGCATCTTTGACCATGTGACTTAGTACTAGAAGCTGTCTTGGGTGTTTTGAGTTAGGCCATCTGTAGGCCTGCCAGGCTTTGGGCCAGATCACTGCCTTTCTCTGAAACTGCATGCCTGGGGCGAGGCTGTCCCAGGTGGAGAGATACTTGGTCACTGATTGTCAGAGACTGTGGTGGTCCTCTGTCCCCTCTGCTTCCCAGTGCTGAGGGGAGCACACAGAGGGTAAAGGAAGATGGCCATTTGTTCTCTAGGATGTAAATTGCATCTTGGCATTGATTGATCCACTTGCCCAAAGAAATAGCATAATAAAAAGTGGAACTATTCTTATATTCCCTGTACATTAGGGGCTCTCTTTGCATTGTATAAATCTGAGCAACTAAAAATGTTCCAAACATTGCTTCTTTTAAAAAGTATGATAATGATGCACATTCAGAAAATGTGAAAAACCTTGAAAAGTATAAAGAAGAAACAGAAGTCTCAGTGATTCCACTATTCCAAGGCAACTATTGCAACCTATCGTTCTCATTCTGTCTTACCTTTTCTCAATGCAGCCTCCTGAGAATTCTGCGTTTCATCTTCCTATTAGCTCACTTCTATCAGTTTTTATTCCTATTTTTCCATCTAATATCAGTTCCAAGCATCTTTTATGCTCTTGGTAAACAAAATGCTTAGTGGCTCCATAACAGCTCATCTAATCTATAAAAGATGCTGTACCCACCCAGTGTTCCCTCTGTTGTTATACTTGGTTATTCACATTATTCCCAAATGAAAATATAATCTCAACTTCAGGTAGCTGGGTTACAAGAAAATATTTGACACTTTATCTTGCTCTCAGGTTTAGAAGAGTTAGCACTGGAAGGTTACAGAAACCCAGATCCACACGTGGCAACACTACACATCTGAAAGGTGGCGGGTGCCTTGCCTTGGCTCCAGAGAAACAGACTGGATGTCAGTGTCCCCTTTAAGAATTTTCTTTTAATTTTTGTGTGTACTGCATTGATTTGGAGTGTTATGACAAGTCCATTTTCACGACTTTTTCTTTGCATTTTTCAATTTAATACTTTTTATTGATGGTTGGTTTATAAAACTCAGAATTCAGAAAAGTATATAAAAGATTATGCAGAGAACAGATCCCCGGTTTCACTTTGCATGGACAGCCAGTGTTATTCATAGCTTGCGGGCCCTGCCAGGGGCTGAATGTGTCCTTGATCACACACAGGTGTGCTCGGCTTTCTTGGCTCCATCCTGGCATCCAGAGGTTTGGTCACGGGATTAGAATTCCCTGCCTTCGGGCCCGATCTGTACATATTGTGTTACCCTTGTGTTGAGGGGTGTTCTGGGCAAGGCCCTGGCCCTGGAAGGGCAGCATTTGGGATATGTGGTTTCTCATATTTGCCACTGCTCTTTAGATCTCATGCACAGAGCATCAGAGATGAGACCTTGCTATCACTTCTTACAGTCAGAGAACGTTAGTCTGAGAAGTTGCTGACCCAAAATGAAATTCTGGAGAAGTGCCTTTGGAATATTAAAAGTAGAAACAGATAGCGGGCTGAGTCTCTTTCGTTCACCTTTGCCCTTGAGATTTCACAGTAGCCCCTCTAGCTTCTAACCTGTCGATCAAATGGGGCCATGGAGAGGGGGTTAGAAATAACTGTCCTGAAGGTTTGCAGCTAAGAGGAGGCAGAATCAGAATGTGAACCCAGGCTGTCTGGCTCTTCGCCCTTGTCCTTAAACTTCTTCGTGCCATTGTTTGTGGCTTGAGTGGTATTGCTGGTCTATTATGGTGCCCTGTTTGCTTCATTCTCTTGTGACACATCACTGTGTGTCATGATGTGCGCTTGTCTATTCCCTGTCTCTGCCAACTGGTGTGGGAATGAATGCCGGGGAACAAGGACATTGTACCATCAATCCCTAGTGTCTGGGACACCTGGTAAATGATTGGTTTTTTGTTTTGTTTTAAAATTTTATTTATTTTGTTATTAGTACATGTTTGTAGTACATAACTTTTACCTTCCTTGTGGAAAACTGGTTCAGGTACATGGTATATCTTAATTCCTTTTGTATCCCCTTTCCGTTCCCTTCCACCTCCTTCACCCATCTCTTGATCCCCTTCATTTTCTTGTACAGGTTTGCGGTACATGATATTTACATTCCTCGTGTGGATTTGGTAACAATACATAACCCATTTTAATTTGTTTCTTTTTTTTTCCTTTTTTCTTTATTGGTACATTTTAGGTGTACAGTACAGTTACATTCATCATTGGGGTCATGTACCTTTACATGATGTATCTTGGTTCTTATTTTTCCCCCATTGCCCTGCCCTCCCTTCACCCACTCCCCCTTCCCTATTTACAGAGACTTTGTTTCCATTTTTTCCCTTTTCTCTTTTTTTCTTTCCCCTTCTTAGCTTTCCCCTACCACTCCCACTTCCCTTGTACCTTTAGACATTTTTTCCTGTTATACAATATCAATTTTACATTTTGATTCTTATTTACACTTTTAGTCTTTCACACCAGAGAAACTATTTGGTATTTACACATGTGTCCTATTTTTTTTTTTCCTTATTGAGTTTATTGGTACATTTTAGGTATACAGTACAGTTACATTCATTATTGGGATCCTGTACCTTTACATGACAGCTCTTGGTTCTCGTTTTTTCCCCTTGTCCCTGCTCTCCCTTCACCCCCTCCTCCTATCCCCATTTACACTTTATTTCCATTTTTTCATTTTCTCATATTTTTTTCTTTTCCCTTATTACCTTTCTGTGTGTCCTATTAATTTCACTTAAGAGTATGGCCTCAATGTGCATCCACTTAGCTATAAATGTCTCTAGTTTCTCATTCTTTATGGCTGAGTTAATACTCCACATCTTCTTTATCCAGTCTCCAGTTCATGGGCAATTAAGCTGTTTCCAAGTTTTGGATATTACAAACTGTGCAGCTATAAGCATGGGTATACATATATCACTGTGGTATGATTCTTTTAATTCTTTTGGGAAGATATCCAGCAGGGGCATAGCTGGGTCAAATGGGACCTCTAATCCTACTTGTTTGAGGTATCTTCATATTGATTTCCACAGTGGTTGCACCAGTCCGTACTCCCACCAACAATGGAGAAGGATTCCTTTCTCCTCACAGTCCTGCCAGCATTTGTTATTGGTTGATTTCTTGAGCAGCCATTCTTTCTGGGGTGAGGTGGAATCTCAGTGTTGTTTTCATCTGTATCTCTTGAAAGACTGGTGATGTTGAACATTTTTTCATATGTTTATTTGCTGCTTTTACTTCTTTGTTTGAGAAATGTCTCTTCATTTCAGATGCCCGTTTTAGAATTGAGTTTATAAATTTGGGGGGATTGATTTTTTTTTAGTTCTGGATAGTAGACCTTTGAGGAACATTTGGCAAAAATTTTTTCCCACATTGTAGGTTGTCTCTTAGTTCTGTTGCTGGTTTCTCTTGCAGTGCAGCTTTTTAAAAAAAATGAGATCCCAGTTGTTGATTCTAGTTCCCATGCTACTAAAGATTTGTTCATAAAGTCTTTTCCTATGCCAATGTCTTCAAGAGTTCCACCTAACTTATCTTCCAGCAAGTTTAGTGTTTCTGTTTTAATATTTATATCTTTAATCTACTTGGATTTAGTTTAGTGCATGGTGAAAGATACAGGTCTAGTATTAATCTTTGGCAGGTTGAAATCCAGTTTTTCAGCACCATTTATTAAAGAGGTGATCTTTCCTCCAGTGAGGATGGTTGGCTCCTTTGTCAAAGATGAGGTATCTGAGTATGTCTGGAATTGTTTCTGCATCTTCTAATCTATTCCACTGATCCTTGGGTCTGTTTCTTTGCCAGTTCCATGCTGTTTTTTATCACAGTAGCTTTGTAGTATAGTTTCGTGTTGGGGATTGTGATATCCCCTGCCATGTCTCTGTTGCCTAGAATTACTTTTGCTATTGTAGGTCTCTTCTAGTTCCAAGTGAATTTTTGGATTGATTTCTCTAGTTCAGTGAAATATACTGTTGGGCTTTCAATTGGGATTGATTGTTAAGTGACTAAGTGACTTGTTCATCTGTCAGTTTCCCCCTGTAGGTAGCTTTCTATGGGCAGAGCCCACCTCTTATTTGTATTAGGGTCCTGGCACCAGGTGCTGGACTCCACACACATGAAGGGCCTTGGAAGACAGACCCACAAGAGGCAAGAGCAGCCGGCACCCCATGGTTGGGGGATGGGAGGGAATGTTCACTTTGTGCCAAGAGGCTCAAGCCCCTTCTCTTTCCAGACCCTTCCTGGATATGGTGTACCACGCTCTGGACAGCCCTGAGGACGATTACCATGCCCTCTTCGTGCTCTGCCTCCTGTATGCCATGTCTCACAACAAAGGTAGGTGTGTTCTCACCTGCTTCTTCCTGTGACCTGATGCCGGCTGATCCCCACCGCTCTGCTGCTTGGAGGGGAAAGAAGAGCCCTTCTTGGGGCCTTTCCTTTCTGGCTGCCGAAGCTGGCCCCGCAGTGCTCCTCTTCCACCTCCTTCCAATTTCTCGGATGCGTTCTTACAGACTGAGGCCACAGGAATTGGTGACTCAGGCAATAAGGGGAAAGGTTAGAGCACTGACTGTCTAACCCACTGTGACTGTCTTCACACTGTGGCTTTCTGTCGATCCCTTGCTTTACGGTTGACTTAGCCAATAACCACTTTCCTAACATCAGAATTGAAATCAGTCAGACTGTAACCTTGGTTTTGCTATTTATACTACTTGGTGTTCCTGCCATGGGTTCAGAACTAAAATAGACTTGGGTAGATTTTGTTAAAGTGTAGGTTTCCTTTCTAAAGAAAGGTGTGGTTCTCTGGCTTCCCCTGTTGAGGCTGTGTGGCCAGAATCCAGCTCATGTGGAGTTGATAGTTGATCAGGATTCGTCATTCCTTCCCTCACTGCTGACTGCGGGGAACAGCCTCTGGTGTTTGCCCCATCTGTCTTGACATGGGTGTGTTCCGGGGCCTCCACATCAGAACCTCATCAAAGAAGAATTGGAATTTCTTCTAGCCCTGCCAAGAATTGGGGGTGGTATAGATGACATGTTATATTGTATCAAGTGACATTTTAGAAGACTTCTCCTAAGTTTATTGAGAAGCTGATGGAGTTGGTTTTTACTAAGACCACCTGTGGCTAGAGACACTAAAACATACCAGTGTGTTTCACACCAGTATTGGCACACACCAGTAATCCCAGCTCCTTAGGAGGCTGAGGCAGGAAGATAAGAAGCTCAAGGCCAGCTTGGGCAACTTACTTAGACTGTGTCTCAAAATAAAATAAAAAGAGAGAAGGATATAGCTCAGGACAAGGGTTCAGTCCTCAATATGACAACAAAATATAACAAAAAATCTACACTCAACATAACTAAGCATTTATTCTTAATCATTAAGTAATCACTAATAAAAACTAAGTCCACTGGTGGCAAGTGAATATAATAAAAGTCTCTCCCACAGCTTCAGCCTTCAGCTCTCCTCCTCAAACGCAGCCCATTCTACCAGTTTCTCATGTGTCTTTTCAAAGATAGCTGTGAAAGCCAAGTAGGAGTATGAGGGAATTTACTGCTACAACTACTCCCTCAGCCGTAAATGTGTCGTGCTGTCTCTTGTTCCCCTCCCATATCCCTCTCATATCATCACACGCCAGCAGGTTGCTTTGCAGCTGTGCAGAATGCCTGATTGACCTTGATCGTGTGTCTGTGTCCCCATTTGTTCTGATATCCTCTTAGCAAATGGCACTGAGACTGTTGGCAGGGCATGTCCTCTGTGGAGGGACCAGCCATGACTCTCTGCTCAGGTATCTACCTATGCTCACAGCATGTCTGAAGACCCAGCCTGAGATGTTTTCTTTTTCTCTTTTTTCCCCTCCCTCAGTGTAGAGGATCAAACGCAGCCCCACAACTTAAGCCTTTTCAAAGAAACATGGCTGGCTCCAGATCCTGCTGGCATTTCCCTCCTCAATCTTATTATCTCCCATGGCTTCTGTAATTGCCTCTAGCACCTGGCTTGATGCCTGGGACACAGGGACCCTCCATTATGGGAGTAAAATTAACTCCATGAAACCTACCAGCTCCTACCTGTGCAGTGTTTACCACCCCTCTAGCCCCACCTCTGTGCCCTCCTCATTGCCACTCCCCAGCCTTAATTCCCCCGTTTGTTTCGGCAGCATCTTGAAACACTGCCCTCCTGTCCTGTAGATATACTCTTCCTACCGTTCTCTTTGGTTAAAATTGCCAACCAAGCTTGAAACTGACACGACCTTCAGCTCTTTCAGGCCTGTGCTCTTTGCTCATCAGATGTCAGTCCTCCTTTTCAGCCTAGCTGAACAGCAGGCTTTAACCTACCCAGTGCGTGTCTCTGAGCCAGGTGCAGGGATGAGAGCCAAGGCACGGGGCATGGTTTTCCAGTGGTCATTATCCCAGGCTAGCACCAGCCACCATACTCCTGGAAGGGTCAGTATACTGCCATTTTATAATCCGTCCTCTGTGGCACTGCCAGAAATCCTTTACAGTAAATCTGCTTTGACCCAGCCTTCCCTGTTCAGAAACCAGTAGAGTCTCCTCTGCTCTGACTTCTACCCTCTTCTCCCTGCCATTTGGGGTATTCACCACCTTTCCAACTTGATCTCATTCCTCTGACTTTCCTTCATAGACCCGTTGCTCCCTTCCAAGGGCCTTCAAATTTTTATGCAGTGACAGAACCTTTTATAGAGATAAACCTTTGGCAGCTGTCATGGTACCCACTGAAGTCTTCAGTCTTCTTTTGGTGCCAGGCAACAGAAACTGCTGTTCATTACCCGAAGCTGAAGAGAAAGCCTATTGCAGGAAGGCCTCTGGGGCAGCCCATAGGATCCGAGAGATTGCTAAAAAGCCTAGCGGGACCTTTAGCCAACCAGATCCAGGGACCAACCAACTCTGAGTACCTCAGCCTTCCCTCGATGGCTCTGATTTGGTTCCAGTAAACCCAAGGCTGGGAGTTTGTCTCTATTCCAGTTGCAAATTCTTGGGTAGGATTCCAGCTTGGTGATGTCTAACTCTGGAAAAGTACAGACTTGGTCCTGAGGGCTCAGCCCTGTGTGTTTGACTGCTCCCTAGAACAGAGCTCTTTTGGAAGCCTGACAGCAACCCTGGTCAGTGTCAACACACCTACCTGTTCCTGGAGAGTCTAGCTTCTTTTTTACTGGTGGTTTTCCCTGCTGTTTTCTCTTCCTCAGTGTCAGTCCCTATTGAAATGCTGCTTGTTTATCAGGATTCTGCCCAGAAGTCACCTTCTCCAGGAAGCTCTCTCCAGTACTTTCAGGGCTAATGCCACCTAATGTGGCACTTTCTATACATTGCTGGATTGGATTTGCTAAAATTTTGTTAAGAATTTTTGCATATATTCTCGAATGATACTGGTATGGAGTCTTCTGTCTGGTTTTGCTCTCAGCATTTGTGTACTTATAGAATGAATTAGAAAATATTCTCTCCTCAATTCTCTGAAAATAGATTTTGTAGAACTAGCATTATTTCTTTCTAAAATGTCCCTTAAATCAATGAAGCCTGCAGTCTTTTATGGTTTTTTTTTTGTTTATTTTTATAGGATTAGAAATTGAACACAAGGTCTTACACATGCTAGATGAGTAGCTCTGTCACTGAGCTACATCTCCAGCCCCTTTTAAAATTTTGCTTTGAGACTAGGTCTCACTTAGTTGCTAAGGCTGGCCTAGAACTCGCCATCCTCCTGCCTCAGCCTCCTGAGCAGTTAGGATTATAGATCTACACCATCATGTCCAGCTGAGCAGAAGCCTTTAATCACTGTTTCCTCAATGGATAGAAGACTGTTTAAGGTTCTCTGATTCTTCTTGAGTGACCTCTGGTGACTAGTGTCTTTCAAAGAATTTGTCATTTCATCTAAATTGCTGAATTTCTTGTCATAATTTGTTTATAATACTCCTTTAGCATCTTTTTTATTGTCACAATCTGTAGTGATGTCCTCCCTCTAATTCATGGTATTGATTATTTGGGTCATAATTTCTGTTTCCTGACCAGTTTGGCTAAAGGATTGTCAATTTTATTGGTATTCTCTGTTGTGTTCCTGTTTTCAGTATCATCAATTTCTTTATTTCTTTTTTCTTTCTTTCTTTCTTTTGGTACCCGGGGTCAAACTCAGGACCTTGTGCTTGCAGGGCAGGAGGCAGAGACACTGAGCTAAGTCCCTGGTCCCTATTTCCTTTATTTCTTACCTTCTGCTGCTTATTTCAGATTTAATTTACTCTTACCTATATCTTTTTTTTTTTTAGTTAAAGATTGCAAAGATACATGATAACAAGAAATGAAGATACTAAATAAAAATTTCAAATATATATGTATATATATGACAGCAAAAAAAGGATATGAAATAAACAAGAATTTATGTAACACAGACTAATCGAAATACATTAGTTTGATATGATCTTCAAACATTATGTTCTTTCTCATTGTCTTATAATATTTTTGAAATAATGTAATTATAAATAAAACAAAGTTACATATTATAGTTGAGAAACTGTCCTCAAAATTTTATGATTTATAAACTCCTTGGTTTAATTAATTGATAAATATCATATACTTGTTGATTGTACCACTTACATTTTCTAACAAAACTTCCCACAGAAAAAAATATACTTATATTTGAAATCCAAAAGCAACTAAAAAATATTCACATTTTTAAGATCAGATTTTTCTTTCTATTTTATTATATCCCATACTTATTTTATTATATTTTTATAAGCATAATGATAGAATTTAACACCAATAGATATGTAATATTCTTCCCAAACGAATGACTATGAAGTCAAGCATGTAATTTAAAGAAATCATAAGGTTGCCAGAGAAACTTATCAATATGCCAAGTGTGCACCATCCTACCACATTCATGCCCATGTTTCTCATTTAGTAGTGCACACATATATGTAAAAACATACCCCCCACACACATACACATATTTTCTACAATACAGTATATACTTAGGTATAATAAAACAGTGCAGTGATGTGTGGAATGTTGGTGATTTGTATAATTTGAGAAAAAACAAATATCATCTTTGAAGGAGTTGGAGAATTTGTAATATGTATCAAATACTAAATGATATTCATGATTAAGTATAGTTATAATAAAAATAACATTTATTAACAAATTTCCAACCAAACAAGCTGTAGTGACAGAAAAGGAAGTTTGTAGAAAGCAGAGATGAAAGAGGAGAATGACAGATGGGCCTTAATACTTTTCATACTACTCATATATAGAGATTTCATAAACTCTCAAATAAAAAAGCAAAGAAAATGAGAACCAAAATAACTCATCAATTTGGTAGACCAACAAATAGAGACAAG